TGCAACATACTTAGAAACAATACAGATGTAAAGAACCTAAACAAAAGCTTCAGTAAAAATATAGATACAAAAGTTACCGTATTTAAAAACAATTAGACAAAACATTAACAGTCATTAAAAGACTATATACAAACCATAAAACAGTGCAGCACACAATTAAAATTTGTCTTTGTTTTCTTCTGTCTGGTCCAAGGCACGAGGGCTGAAGAGACAGAACAACACAGGCTTCTGAAGATAAATATTTCTGGATGGAAGACCACCTGGTAGCCCTACATAGGGCACCTTGAATTTCCCAGAGAAAGGGCAAGATAGAAATGCTAATGGCATAATCATAAATATGCACTTATTTATCATATTTTGACCCAACAGGGCCCATGTGGCAATCCACTATAGATAAAAAACTCTCTAAAAAGCATTTATTAGCCAAAAAAACAACAACTAAGAACAGTCCACTATAAATAGTATGTAAAGAGATCTTGTAGCACCTTTGAGACTAACTGAAAGAAATAAGCTGGCAGCATGAGTTTTTGTAAACTTCAGTCTACTTCCTCAGATACATTTGGTGCAAAGCTCATGCTGCCAACTTCTTTCATTAGTTAGTCTCAAAGGTGCTACAAGATCTCTCTACGTATTGATTGTACAGACTTAACACGGCTATATCTTTGAATTCTTCCACTATAAATAGTTCTAGAGCCAGTTTAAAAACAGCCGGAGCAGACACCCTTAATTTTAAGAGCCAAATACAGATCTAACACCATCTTAAACAACTGAGATGCTGGAAAGCAACAAAGGGCCTTGAAGAAGAGAACCTCTTCCTCCTTCACATTTTTGCACAAACCTCTCTGGTGAAGAATGAAGAAGTCACAGGGCTTAATGCTATAGCAAGTGATTGGTACTTGGCGGTAGATGAACTACAAGCCAACTGTGCAAGGCCCTTAATTAGCCTTTTATGCTGTTACCAAAATTATAGCATATTCTCTCCGCTAAACACACATGTGGGATCGCAGAGGGTAGGGAAAGTTTGATAGGAGTCACAGCATTGCTAGTAATTTTCATTAGCAGTTAACATACACAGTATTTATAAATGTTTAAGCTAAGCTCAGTCGCTTACAACAGAAGCACATGTTAAATTACACCAATGCCCTCCTCATGGTCTTGATCCCAAGAAGAAGAATTAAAATGTCTATTTTAATTTGTGCATCTTCATGGTCTTCCCCACCCCATGGCAAATCTCAATTCTCAGAACCATGAATTAGATACAGATGCATCTAATAAGTATACATTTCCTTCTCGAAACAGCTCCACTGAGAATTCAAAGTGAAAGCCCTATACAATTTGGTTCAGACTATCTGAACGACCATCTCTCTCTCTGTGCAAGGTTTAAGATCTTTGGAGGAAACCTTTTTCCTGGTCCTACCACCATCACAAGTGCATCTGGTGAGGACAGACGAGAGAGCCTTTTCAGTGACTTGCTCTTTCAGCCATAATTAAATAAATAATAAAGTGCTTATGCCCCAAATGTGTGGATGTTATTGACTTGCTAACCCTTTTCTGTGTAGGTGGAAGCTGTGTGGAAGTGTTTCACTAAGATTTTTTATTATTAATGACTGCCTTCCTTTCCCATGGCATGCTCTTCCATCTCTCTTGCTTTGAAAGCCTGAATTACAATACTAGTCATTTATAGCTGTAATCATTTAAGCTGAGTTCTTGCCATTAAACTTGCTCCTGCCAACTGCCCTGTCATTTTCGCTCTCTGTCGTTTTAAATTACCTTCTGCCTTTGCTCAACCTTGAAGGCATCCATCTGCCCTGTTAGCAACTGCTCCCTGGTTCAAAGGCATCTCCCACATTCCTAACCCTAATTGCCTTTTGGGGCCACAATGGAAAGAAAGGAGAGTCCAAGCTCAGAACAGGAGGTCAATGAACTATCCAAAGTGCCAAAAATGCCAAGGAACCTGCTGAAAATAGTGGTTTTGCTGAACATGAGGAGGAAAATAGCCTCTTGAGCACTTACAGTTTCTTTAGTTATTGGGATAAAGCAAGGCAAATACCAGAGAATGCTATTAGGATCTTTCAACATCCTTCCAGTTAGGAAAACTGGAAAATACACTGGCCTGCAGCTCATTCATGGAAGCAGCACTTGCCCACAACCACTAAGCCAGTGGTTTGGTCCCCAGTTGTTTTGGATTTTAGCTCCCAGAATTCCTGGCTGTTGGCCAAGCTGACTTGGTCTTCTGGGAGCTGAAGTCCAAAACTTCTGGAGGACCAAAGTTTGGTAATCATTCCACTAAGCCAGTGGTTCCCAAGCTTTGGTCCTCCAGATGTTTTGGACTTCAGCTACCAGAAGCACCAGCTAGCTTGGCCAACAGTCAAGGATTCTGGGACATGAAGTCCAAAACATCCAGAGGACCAAAGATTCACTGCACTAAGCTGTTTCACATCTATGAGAAGCACTGTGTTCTGATGAATGAATCCTTGCCATTCTCTCTCTCCATATGACTAAATCCATTTAACACCCTGATTATGTCCTTCATCCTGTCTGCATCCCTCAGCATGAAGAAACAGAAATAGATACATAGACAAGCAAGCTTCTCAAGCCACTGGGTCATTCTGAGCTGAGCAGCTGGCCAAAAATACAACACTGCCAACACGTAAAGCATTGGTGAGCCAGCACTTTGGCAGGGCATGAAGTAGAGGTACAACTGGTATGGCAAAATAGAAAGAAAAACCAGAGACAGAAAGGTCTTTCTGTGGACATGACACACAAGGGCAAAGGTGGGATTGAGTTTCCCTTCCATAGTTCACACCTGGATCTAGGAATTCTTATTGCATCCTGTGGTTTTCAAGGGAAACTTGGACAGAAGATGTTGCAATGGAGTAAGATCAGCTGGAGAAGCTCAGTGACATCAGACAGGCTAGACTACAATTCCTGTCCTCCACAGCTAATTCTGCAGCTTAGGGGTAAAAAAATCTGGATTGAGCTCTGAAATTACACTACCAATGCTTAGAAAGAAAGAAAATTTTTGGGCAACACCATCTCAAATTTGGGTCCCTAGGAAGTGGAAATTGCTTCTCCTCGACCTTATTTATGTAGCCAAGTACTGATGGCATACAAGAAGCATCATTTTGTTTCTTCTTTGGAGGAAAGCAAGAAAAATCAAAGACAACTCCCCCCCCTTTTTTTTTTTTTTTAAATGTCTAAACAGCACTGCTGAGCTGTGGTTGTGGTTTACGCAGCAACCTGCCTCACTGGACCCATACAAGAGAATTAGCTATCTGGGATTAGCCAAATCAGCAAAGCATCTCTCGCTCTCTTGAATGAATGCATCCCCATTAAGCCTGGGGAGAAAAGATGGCTGGATGGAGCAGAGATGGGGAAGGCTCAGTTTATAGAGAACAGCTTCCATCTTAACAAGTGCTTTGGGGAAAAAAGTGAACTCCAAATCCCTAAGGAAGGCTCACAGCAGCTATGAGAAATACTTTGTATTATTAGCTGCACACAGACTATGCTCTGTGTATGTGTGTGTATTAAAAAGCCAACCATTTGCTTCCACATAAAAATGTCTTCTATGTCTCCACAGGCTTTCCAGGAGAAACCTCTTTCTAGGCAAAGCCATCTTTTATTAAGAGATGCAAGAGACTCAAGAATATCCAGGAAATCTCTGGCACTGTGGCCCCAAAAATGTCATTTGCAGGAGAAATGGACTGGCTATTAGTGTTCCAGGGAGATCCACAATATGGGTAATGGGGGGAAAGAGAGGAGGAAGAGAATATATGAGTGAAAGAAAGAAAGAAAGAAAGAAAGAAAGAGAAAGGTTGCTGCCACAGTTCAGAATTAATGCAGTTTGATGCTGTTTTAACTGCCATGGTTCCATCCTATGGAATCGTGGGATTTGTAGTTTGTTGTGAAACCAGAGCTCTGACAAAGTAGGCAAAATATTCACAGAACTACAAATCTCAGAATTTCATAGCACTGAGCCATGGTAGTTCAAATTGGTATCAAACTACATTAATTCTGCAGTGTAGATGCAGCTTAGGTCTCAGGGTTTGGTTCCAAAACCTCATGGCCTAGGACAATCCTGAAATGGCAACCCTATGTGCAACCATGGAATCAATGTACAATAGACTGTGTTCAACTGCATTAATTATGCAGTGCAGATGAAGCCAAAGGGAAATCGATTGATTTTAAACCCAGGAGAGACTATTTTCTTCTTTGCTCTGCATGGCTATTCCACCATATCAACTTAACAGAGACTGACAACAACGTCTTCACAAAATATAGGCCTGTGACATTAATATTGTCATGTTAAAGTAAGTACAGGTTAAGTCTCCTTTATCCAAAATACTTGGGACGAGAAATGTTCTGGATTTTGGAATATTTGCATAGACCATCTTGGAGATGGTACCGAAGTGTAAAAATGAATTTCCTTTATGTTCATATACACTTTATACACAGAAGGAAAATGTACAATATTTTAAATAATGTTATGCATGAAACAAAGTTAATGTACATTGACCCATCAGAAAGCTAAGGTGTCACTATCTCAGCCACAAATATGGACAATTTTGGCTTTTGAAGTATTTTGGAATTCCAAATAAGGGAGACTCAATTTGTATGTAGTTCCATACCAGCCGGGAGCTTTGGCTGGTGATCTGCCTGCACTTTTCTGGTCTGAAGCAGGCCTCTAAGATCAAAAGAGGCAGTTGGCTGAGAAGGCTGCAGCTTCTCTCCCAACAGGCAAGAGCTGCAAAAAGCATATAATTCAATTTTGGCTCAACTGCACTGACTGACTGCTTGCTTGCTTGCTTCTGGGGCCCGATGCAGAAAGTACTGCTTTTGACCTTTCAAGTCCTAATCTGCCCAAATCCCACATACACAACAGCCATCCTTCTCTCCCTATCTTCAGAACCAGGCAGGCAGGCTCTGTGTTCCCATTTTTAGGTTGAGATGCTGTGGCCTGGATTTTGGACAAATAATGTGTGTCTGTTTGCAAGGAGAGAGACAGTGTGGTTAAGTGGTTTAAATGTTGCACTAGGACTCTGGAGACCAGAGTTTGAATCCTTGCACAGCCACAGAAACCTGCTGGGTGGCCTAGGGCAAGTCACAGTCTCTCAGCCTTAGGAGGAGGCAAAGGTAAATTCCCTCTGAACAAATCTCTCTAAGAAAATAGGTGATAGGTTTGCCTGAGGGTTGCCACAAGTCAGAAACAACTTGAAGGCACACAACAACATTTGCAAGGCATATGGGACAGAGGTGCAGCTCCTAAGAGAAATATACTTCCCCAGGAGACCCTTCCTTATTGTCATCTGAATAACTGATCAACTTCACAGTTTCCAAAATATTCAGCTCTGGCTGATTCTGCAACATTCTGAATGGCTCCTGCTTTATTTTCTCAGGCTTTGGCTTTTAAGACTATTTAAGGTTTAATGTTTTACCCTATTTTATTGCCTCTCATACGCAATTCCGAATACCATTCTGTCAAGAAAATTAAGCTTTAAAATACTGGAAATACAGGCATGGTATTAGTCAGCCAAATGGATTTTTGGAGTACTTCCATTCTAAATCACTTCTGAGTTTGCTGCCTTAAAACTTTAATCATGCTCCATTTTCTGACAAGCAACAGGGTCCCCGTATGCAGTATGGTTTCTAAACCCCACCCCAAAGGACCCCATTTGCAAACATCAGGATATTGTACTAAATTTTTGAACATCCAATTATTTGATAGCCATGGTATCAATATACTTCCATGCGAAGGATGTGGAGCAAAAGGCTTTCTTTCTGCTCAACCAGCATTTCCATAAAAACACAGAACTGTATGCTGAACAGATGGAGTCTTTTCTTTTCCTTGAGCATCGATGTTCAAAGTGACTCTCTTCCATATGTTCTGCAGGCAATCAAAATTAGAACACAAAGCTTTACAGGAAGAAAAAGAAAGTTTCCAACTCAGATATAAAAATACCTTCTGTCCCTCCTCCCCATCTCTCTTCCTCCCACTCAAATCATTAAACTTTTCATCTGAAAGAGAAAAATCGAACAGCCAAGCGTCTATGGGAAGGAGAGAAAAAGATGTTCTCAACATATATGCTGCTTCCCACTTCCTCCTCTACTTCAGTCTTTTGAAAACCTAACATTTCTCTTTTGATCTCCATGAATTTCTCCCCTCCCTCTTGATACCTACATCCCTACCACCAGTTTTAGACACCTAAAATTTGTTTGTGCTGGACTAGGACTCCTGGAGACTTGGGTTTGAATCCCTGCTCAACCATGGAAACCCACTGGATGACCCTGGGCAAGTCATACTCTCTTAACCAGAGAGGAAGGCAATGGAAAATCTCTTCTCGACAAATCTTGCCAAGAAAACCCCATGAAAGGTGCATTGGGTCACCAGGAATCATAAATGCCCTGAAGGCACACAACAACAGCACTATAGGCCTTACACCTCCACACTCGTTTCAAGCAGAACTTATTTATCCATTAGACTTACATCCTGCTTTTCTCCCATGACTGTTATTCCACTAGTGAGGTTAGCTGGGGAATTCTGGGAGATTTATTCCAAAAAAAGCAACATTGCCAACATATGGTTTCACATATTTCTCCTTTTTCCAAATCAGCATCCTATTTATCCACTCTTCAAAGCCCTGCAGCAGTAACTGTTCAATCCAGAATGCCAACAAACCTGGCCAATTTTTTGTTTTTTATAAACCTGGTTTCCTTCTGTGAGCGGTGATAAATGTTAGCAAAATAACCATTATTCATATGCACAGAAACAAATGCAGTATCTCTCAAAACACACCTGGCTGGCAGAATAAACAGAGTGGAAAAATCACCTCCCCCCTTTTATGTAATAAAAGAAATTCATGACTGCTGTTCACTTTAGCCCCAGTACAGTTATAAGCTATTGTTTTTTGTTTTTTTTAAATCATAAGCAGAAAAAATAAAGATTTAGGAACACAGATCTTTATCTTCCAGGTAAGAAAAATGAAATAGCCAGGTGTAGTGAGTTGTTTTAAACTGAATGAAGGAGGCCTAATCATGCTGGGATAGAAAGAGACAAATTAATGGATCGAGATGTAATGATCCTCTAGAACAGGGGTAGGCAACCTTTCCCCTTTAAGGGCCGAGGGACTTCAGCTCCCAGAAGCCTCAGCCATGTTGGCCAATAGTCCCATGTTGGCCAATAGCTCCTGGGATTCTGGGAGCTGAAGTCCTTTGGCCCTTAAAGGGGAAAGGTTGCTTACCCCTGCTCTAGAACAAATCATTAGGGTAGAGCAAAGCAGGACAAGTCCATTCTGGCTAAGTGATGCACCACTGGTGCAAAGGCTGCATCTGCACTGCAGTTTGACGCCGCTTTAACTGCCATGGCTCTGTTGTGCTATAGAATTCTGGGATTTGCAGTTTTGTGAGATACAGTCATGCCTTGATATTCACAGATTCCTTATCCCTGTGTTCAACCATCCATTGATTGAAAATATTTTTAAATTCCAAAATGCAAACCTTAATTTTGCTGTTTTATAGAAGGGACACCATTTTATTATACCCCTATATTTAATTAGACTTGAGCATCCATGGATCTTGGTAGGAGTCATGGAAACAAACCCCTATGGATACCAAGAGCCCACTGTATTTAGCCTAACCCTAAGGGGAACCTATCTTGGGACCTATCTTGGCAAGATTTGTTCAGAGGAGGTTTGCCTTTGCTTTCCTATGAGTCTGAGAATATAAAAAACTGAGTGGTCTTGGGAATTTTTCCCCATGCCTGACTAGAGATTTGAACCCTAGTCTCGCGGAGTCCTAGTCCAGCACTCAAACCATTACACCATGGTGGCTCTCAGTACAGATGGAATACAGAGAAATCTTTCCCACTCATACTAGAACACATGGAATATGTGGGCCATGCCACCTCTTTTGCCTCCTTCAAATCCCCCCTGGAGCCTTACCACTTTCACAAAGGCTTTGGCATAAAACCTGGCATCCATGTCCATTGCAGCCCACCTGTAAATAAAATTAACTCTGTATGACTGAAGCAACTGCATATTGCTTCTCCTCTTTACTGGACTCCACTCCCTCCTCTGTGCTATGTTCCCCATATGGAAGTTCAGATTGGAAGCGCAGGGACTGATCTTCTTGTACTCTGTAATGTAAAGCATATCACACAGTGGTGGGACTAAACTAAAAAAGTAGAGAAAGAAAGAAAGTCATGATGCAATAGGGCTTGTTAACAGAAGAAGCAAGAAGTGTCTTTAGGTGTGTGCATGGTTTGAAGAGTTAGACAAATTCACAGATCAGAGATCAAGAGTACAGGTCTATGAAAGGGCAAAGGTCAAACTATTCATTTAAAAAAAAAAAAAGACCTAATGCAAAACTAAATAGCACCCATTTCGTTCACAGTTACAAAAAGTCCACTTCCTCAACTCAAAGCATGATGCTTCCGGAGAATTATTCATGTATTTTTTAATAAGAGTCTTTTTATCCTCAGCCAGAGCTGCAAAATGCTAACAATATATTTATTCTTCCAGCAGGTCTGTTCCGTTACCAGAAGTTGAGCATTTTTCTCAAAACGCTGCTGGGATTAGTTAATGTTTTCACTGGCAAGAGAAAACGCTTTCTTGGCCAGCTTTCAGACCTTGTTTGGTTTCTTGTATACTGAAAGCATTCTTTCCCGTTGCCAGGGTCATTCACTTCTCTCCTCCTTGTCCACACACATACACACACACCCATCAGCCCCTCCAACCCTGCACCTGGAGGTATGTAGTAAGCTGAAATTTGTAGCTATCTGTTGCCTTGTGGACTGGCTATATTGCTCCACATCAACTTCTCCCCTATGCTTTTTTTGTCCCAGTGCCCATTAAATGCCAGGTATTGTAGTATTCCAGGTTTTCCCCCAAAGCAACAAGCTTTAGCTTTATAGTTTGACAGAGAATCCATTTCAGTCTCTGACGAGAAATATTTCAGTTCTAAATAACGCTACCTTCTCTTACAAGGAATGCGGCAAGTACAAGTTTATAAGGACGTTCCGTAGCTCTTACTAACTCTTGCCAAGTTTAATAACTGTTTAATCTTCTGCTTCCTTGGGTTTTCCTTTGGACGCATAGGGATCCTCTTCTCCTTTGAAGTCATTCCAATTTGGTAATGATACACAGAAGCGCCATCTTGTCAGAAAGGGCAACGAGCTAGAGATTTGCTTTTAAATATTAGATGGTCTGTCATTTTTTTTTTAGAAATATTTGGGGAGTGCTTTTAAATCATGTTATACAGTTGGTTAACTCGGGATGCAAACCCCTACACTCAACCTCTGTTCTCTTGACATGTTTGAAGGGTAAATGAGAGGTTGAAAAGAACTGGGGGAATTAACTTCTGCAAGACCAGACACATTTTTATAACAGAACTGTATAAACTAGATGTTTGACTCATCTCTCTTAAAAACACATGGTAGGATAATCAGTTTCTAAAACGGACAGAATTCAATTTTACAGAGAAACTAAGCAACTCTGAGCAATCTACAGTACTCAGCAAGAGTTTTATATATGACATCTTGACACTCATTTGCATTAATAAAGGTCAATCCTTCAAGTTCACCCCATAAGATAATATCTAGCTAATGACTGAGTAAACAAATCTAAAGAAACACATTTGATATGAGAATGTACTTGAAAGCACAAGACCAGATTTCACCATTGGCAAACATTTACTAGTATAAGACTACCCTTTTAACCTGCTGAGCTCAAGAAAACCAAGAGTCACATCCAATAAAAGGTGATCTGCTGGCACTTAAAATCCAAGATCAAATTCCTGCTAAGTTGTCAAGCAAATATGGTGGCCCTGGGCATGTCACAGCCAGGCTAAGGTATTGTTCTGTGCTCTCTGAAAAGCAAGCAAGATACTGTATAAACAGGAATACTAGTTCCATGAACTCAATACAGGCAGTAAGAATATAGAAAATTGCCTCATACCTCCTAAGTCAACATTCTCTACACTGACAAAAAATGCTTCTCCAGGTTCTCCAATGTCCTTCCCAGACTCATCTGGAGATGA